TAGTAGCAGTTCATTAGCTGCCATCTGGCTTCCAAGTATCTCTGTGTGCTCGTCATTATCCTTATAACTGGACACCAAATCAGGTGGGTCTTCTCAATTTCCTCCTGTAGGTTACATAGGAAACACGTTGGTTCAGTTTTTACCCTTAATCTAAGTAGGTGCTTTAACAGACAATCGTGTTCGGTACGCAGTCTAAACACAGCAACGGCTTCGATTATTGGCCAGTTCTCTTATGTCGGAGTGTGCCACTGGTAATATTTCTTCTTTGGTCAAGCATTAAGTTTATTGCCCCTTGAATTCTTCCTTGATTAATGTCTTCATGATGTGGAAAACGTCGGCCGGTCTATGCTTTGCTTGATTGCTGTCCCCTTCTGAGTAAGTGCGTAAGCAAGCCAATTGTCTTTAAGGCCACAGTGACCAGGAATCCATTGAAGGATCACTGTTTTGTTTTACTCTCAGAAACTTATGCAGTTTTTGCATTCGTATATTTCATCTGTTTTTTAAGGTAGCTTTTGCTTCCATTTAAGATTATTGTTGGCATTGTGGACGAAGGAATTACTGATTTTAGTGAATTTCGTATCGAGGCAACAGAATTTACTTAGTATTTTCGCAATGGCCCTAATTTCCCCTTTGAAGGCGGATCTATAGTGTCTTGCAGCTGCAAAGAAAGCGAATAGTTGAGAGGAAGCATTTGCGCTAAGGTTTGCTTGGTTTCCTATGTATGCCTCATCAGTGAAGACTTCGAGCCATTGATGTGCATGACAGTTCACATTGATTGCCCCAATGGGCTAGTGAGCGCATTTGTTCTGAAGAAGCGTTTGCTTTTCTGACTTTTCGGCTTTTTTTCAATTTGATGTTCTTTCCTCTCTGTAAAGTCTGAAGTCAACTAAAAAGCTAATGATAACCATCAAGGCGTCTGCCATTTGATATAAATTAATAAATAAAATAAATAAAAAAATGCTTGATTTTGTGCTTTCTCGAGTTGTTTCAGAGTCACCTCTGTGGGTATAATGAGTGGCTCAGGGCTATGCAACATTATTAGCTGAATTACCATCTTGTAACTGGTGATTAATGTTGAGCATGCATAATCCCAAACACTATCAGTAAGACGCTTCAGTGTATTCATTCGATTTGAGATTCGTTCTGCTATTTTGACAATGTGACTTTACCATGTTTGATATGTGTCAAACGTAAGTCCGAGATAAGTGAGCTCGTTGGTTTTCTCGGGTAGTACCCTTGCACTTTAAAAACGGGTTTATGATGCGACAGGGCAAAGAAAATGTTTGTAATTCAGTTTTCGTGGTGATGATAAGCATTGCATTGTTGTTTCACTAGTTTGCTATTAGTTTAAGTGCACAATATAGAACACTTTCCGTCTTATTTTGAGGGTTTTTCTTAGGGGCGTAATACAATAGAACAAGACCATCTGCATAAAGTAAGCAAATGATGCCTGTGGCAGTCAGTACCAGTTCGGCTGTCATTGATGACGATATTGAAAGTGTGCAACTTGTGACAACTCCCTGTGAAGGACCTGTTTGTAAAAGATTGGATTTGGATACAGCAGTTAAATTCTCATTCATGCAGCCGTTTCTCAAATTGGCTGCAGAAATTTGTAACAAAACCATTTTAGGCATATCTCATTTTCTATCATGATGTAATAATTACAGTCACGAATAGTACTAAATTTGAATAAAGGTAATATGGTAATATCAGATTAGTTGACGATATGCCAGTATTTTCTTGCTTGAAAGCAATCCTTCTTGAGAAATCATTTACAGAAAAGTTAGGATTTGAGAATTTTATGAGGCGAGATATGATTAAACTGTGCGTTAGCAACATTATCAAACAAGACACAATTCAAGGCGCGTTCGGATTAAATTGCTATTTGTTCATAATTACTCAAAATATGTAGACAATTGTTTAGGTTACTTTACTGAAAATGGGCCATTATTGGCATTGGTGAGAATTTCTTGTGGAAATAAATTCTATTTTAGTTATTTGAAGACGTCAATGGCCATCTTTATCACAAATATCATGTAAAGCCAGACATTGAAATGATCTCGCCAAATCTAACCTTCTACCTTTAGGCATTAATGGCTAAATATTGCTTAATATTGATATTCCTACTATAAAACAAATATTATTCTTAAAAATTGGCCTTAAAAATAATACCAGATATACATTTTCTGAAAGCATTTTTTAGTCAATTCAAAAAAGGTCGCTATGGTAGAAAGCTATGTCATTGGAATAATGGCATTATTATTAGTGTTGGAATATGCCGGCCTGGTGGTCTTGGTGTTTGATACTCGCTTAGGGTGCAATTGGTACAGGGTACAAATCCAATGGAATAAATTGTACGTTAACTCGATTCTGTTAATGCAGCAATATATTTCCGCAACAAGAATCAAAGTCAAAGATTGCAAAAATGCACAATACTACTTTGAATTTATGGATCACTCTCTATAACTAACGCCTTCACTGTTCACTGTTGAAATGGAAACAACATTCACGCTTTCACTATATGCGTGCTGCATTTCAACATTAGAAATGCTTTCCATAACGTAATTATTACAAAGAATCTGTGTCATTTATTAATGGAAATTAAATTAGGATCTCTAAACCTACAACTTCCGTAACGATCCCACAACAATTAAATTTCTACTTATCTTAATTTAATTAAATGTTCAGATTTAATTTAAACACTTTCAAATATTAAGGTAAAGATCATATTTGTGCGTAAATGATTAGATTTAATCTTGATTTTAATGACTCGTAACAAATGGAGTAAATGATTATTCAAGAAAATTGCTTTGGAATTAGAAGTTGACATTTTCTACTACTATTATAACGCTTCAAGCGCAAACATCCTAAACCCTCATAATGCCTAGTAGTAACAACGCTTTATTAGGTGTTTATTCGGCAGCTGATTAATTTCAAGGCTGCACTCCCGAAACTAAAATGGTAGTGAATAAATCCCTCTGCCACCAAAAATTATGCTCCCAAAATCCTCCCTTGAAGTAAAATGTGCCAATTGAGCTAGTCAATATTTGCAAAATAGTAAGCTAATTTTAAAAGTCTAATCGATTGTTCAACAACCAAGCATCGCTTTAAAATTTAGAGTTTTGAATCAAAAAAAGGTGAATTGGTTATATTTTTAATTATTTGATATTCATTTATACTTAAATAAATAAGTAGTGGTAGTGCATTTTATATATGCTTCAGAATGCCCTTCGTTGTTGAATCTGCTTTTGTAACAAAATAAAAATTTAAAGGCATAACAACAAAAAGAAATAATATATAAATTTAATTTCAAATGGCAGGCTTTATGATATTTATCATTAGTCCCTTAGTTGAGTTCACCTTTCCCCATGTGTAAAAAGTACTTTTGATAGTAGTACATTAGTTGCCTTCTCTCTTCCCAGTATCTCGCCGTTTTCGTCTTTATCTTTTTAGCCGGACACCGACTTAGGTGGGTCATCCCAATTTCCTCTTGTAGTATACGTAGGATGCACGTTGATTGAGTGCTTTCTCCTAATCTATGAAGGTGCTTTGACATGCCATCTTGTAAGGTACGTAGTCTAAACTCAGCAACGGCTTCTATTCTTGGCCAATCGGCTATGTCGGTGTGTGCCACCGTACACCGTTTCTCATTTGTTCGAGCTTTAAGTTCGTTGCACATTGAGGTATGGAATTCTCTCCTGATTAAGGTCTTCATTGTGTGGAAAGTCATCGGCCAGTCTATGCCTTGCATAATTGTTGTTCCCTTCTTAGCAAGTGCGTCAGCAATCTCATTGCCTTTAATGCCACAGTGATCAGGTATCCATTTCTGGTCGTCTTGATGTTTGATACTCGCTTAGGGTGCATTTGGTGCAGGGTACAAATCCAATGGAATGCAGCAATATATTTCCGCAACAAGAATCAAAGTCAAAGCTTGCGAAATGCCCAATTCTACTTTGAATTTATTTAACGCTTTCTATAAATAACGCCCTTACTGTTCATTGTTGAAATGGAAATAACATTCTCGCTTTCACTTAATGCATTTTGCATTTCGACATTAGAAATGCTTTTCACAAAGTAATTATTACAAAGGATCTGCGTCATTCATTAATGGAAATTAAAATAGAACTTCGAAACTTACAACTTCCGTAACGATCCTACAACAATAAAATTTCTACTTAACTCTTTAAGTAAAATGTATTTATTCGTCATCTTAATAAAATCAAATGATCCGACTTAATTTGAACACTTTCACTCATTAAGCTAAAGATCATATTTTTGTGCGTAGGATTACTTATAATCTTGATTTTAATGAACCGTAACAAATGGTCATGCATCATATTTTTGGGCGGCCCCACTATATCAACTGATAACCAACGGGATTATTTGGTTTATATATTATTTTTTTGGATACTTCTGGGGTTAATAAATAATATATAAATAAAAATTAATAATAAAAATAATGCACTTCAAAAATGACCTACAATTCATGACGCTAAACCAGAATACCCCCATAAATGGAATAAACGATTATTCAAGATAGTGCCTTTGAAATGAGAAGTCATAATTCACTACCAACATTGCAACGCATCTCATGTAGCCATTGAAATGCAAATCACTTACAAACAGCTTCAAGCGAAAACATCCTAAGCCTTTAAGTAACAACGCTTTATGTGGTGTTTACTCGGCAGCCGATTAATTTCAAGGCTGCACTCCTGAGACTGAATATGTTAAGTATAAACACCGCTGTCGCAAAATATTATGCTCCCAAAATCCTAACTTGAAGTATACAGTGTTATATGATTTACACAATATTAGTCACGGGTGTGCAATAGACTTACCTCAACGTGGGGCACCCTTGACAACGTATCTTTGTACGGCAAAAAGGTCTATCACTCGGCATTTGATTTGACTTTGATTATTATTTTTTTAGCTTAAAAAAGGCTATAGGAGAAATTTCTCTCGTCAGGGCGAATCAAAACGTCTTCAGATGATCCAGTGGAATGCTGGAGGAATGTCTCCGGACAAAAAAGATCCAAATTCAGAAAATCCTACAAACCTATGATGTAGACATCTTCACAATTATGGAAGCTAACATTTCGGATGACAAACTGAAGTACTTCCAATTCCCAAGTTACACCCTGTACAATCTACCCAAATACCGGCAAGTTGCAAGTGGAATTCTAACTGGAGTTAAAGAAGGCCTCACCTCACACTACGATCTAATCAAGAGTATGGGCTCGACACAAGACATGTGTAAAATAATCAGATTAAATGTTTGGAAATGTCAAAACCACTTCAAGGTATATGCAGTCTACAATCCACCCCAGAATTGTCTCAACTTTGACTTTCTGAACACTCACACAAAACTATAGTATTAGGAGACTTCAACGCCCACTGCACCAGATGGGGCTACAAGGATACAAACATAGGTGGAAAAGAAATTGAAGACATGCTAAACAGCAACATTCTGGAACTTATTTATAGCAATGAGGATCCGGCTACATATTTGCACTACAATGGAACCAGAACAACTCCTGACATACTCCTGGTTTCAACCGGCGTCAGTGAGCATTTTCCTCTTGGCTTCAAGCGACATCAGTGAGCATACTCGCGACTTGCTCCTGGCTTCAAGCGACATCAGTGAGCATACACGCCGTATTTCCTCTTGGCTTCAAGCGACATCAGCGAGCATACACGCCGCACTTGACGATCCTGGTTCTGGTCACAAACCAGTCATGCTTAATATTACCATCGGCAGCCTTCTAGTCACAAACCAGTCATTGCTAGTATTACCATCGGCGGCATAAGCATGACATGAAGTGCCAACTAAGCTATCATGGAACTTCAAGAAGGCTGACCGTGCCAACTAAGCTATCATGGAACTTCAAGAAGGTTGACTAGCGTAGATTCACTAACCTTTTGGAGAATGAACTTCACACCAGTCCACTTAACTTCACCAACATCCTGACAAACTTTGCAACTAAAACACGAATATTATGATTAGATGTGCAAAGAAAACTGTTACCCCTGTCAAGACTAAACACTTTCGAGGGTTTTGGTCTGAATATCTCGAGGAGCTGAAAAGAAAACGGGACGCCATTCGCAACACTGCTGATCAGACAGGAAGAACGGAAGGTGTGCAAGCCTGGAGAGCTTGACAAAAGTTATCAATATTTTAACAAATTACATACTATTTCATATGTCCGATAAATAAGACCCTTTCAAAGAACAATTTTCCAATTATTAATAACTGAGGATTAAATCTACACTTTCACTAGAAAAATTTGAACACTTGCAAAAGCAATATCGCCATGTGACCAATAGGTATGATGAATTGTGAAAACCACAAAGATTTCGAATTCGATATAAATTTTATCGTTGATTTACACAAAATAAGATTTATTATCATCAAGATTTATTTATAATTATCTTCTTAATGTTTTTTTTAATTTTTTCATGAAAATCAATCAATCAATCAATTTATTTTCAGCCTTGCTGTATTTATTGACAAATACATTGCGCGATTCCAACAAATAAAAATAAAAAATAAAATAAGTTAAATATTATCATTGTATATATATATATATATGTTCACTTGAGTAAATATTAAATTGAATATATCGAATTCAAAAATTTTTCGACGATAATGTTTAGCGACCCGAAATTTATTCTTTTTTTTATTTTGTCTCACCATTACTTGTTGTAATTACGTGTTAGTATACTGAAAGGACGCAAATATTACTTATATAAGCGGCTTAAACGGAGAGAATAACTGTCGTTTCATATTAAGACTTACCCTGGCTAATTATTATTGTCACTTGTTCGCTACCTAGAAGATTGCAATGTATAAATGTATTACACTATTCTTTTGCATGATCAACACTATCTGGCTATAACATAAATAAGGCAAAAAAGCATTTTCTCACAGGACTAAATATTATTTTTAAAATTTAAGAGCGCTAACTAAAAAAATATCAACCGAAAATATCAAAATCGTTTGCTATGCAATATCTTTAATCATCGGTGTATGTAAAAATACCCTCATACACAAATTTGAATGACCCCTGGGAAGACTCGAGAAACATGGAGGAATTTTTCAATCAATCGGCTCAAATAAAGGTTAAAAGTTAGGAAAAATGATAGGAAAAAGTGTACTTTAACGCAGATTTACATGTCATTTTTGGTGTTATTTTTCGTAAAACTAAGGAAATCATTTGATTAGAACGTTTCAATGGCTACACAGATGTATATTGGGCTTCCAAATTAAACTGATTTAGATCCCACATTGGGAAATAACTGAGCTCTTTTGACGTTTTAGAGGAAGTCTGCGTATCCTGATCCTTGGTTGAAACGCTGAATCTACTTCGATCACTGATCACCAGCTATTTCTATCACCCATGCCCACCCAACCCACCCTACTCTCCTTGACTTGTTATAATGAAGATGACAAATGTGATGACACTAACATTACAGATAAAAAGAAAAGCAAGCGAATTCAAATAGTTGAATAAATGTTACTATCGAGTTCCCAAAACCCCAAATTACGCGATACCAATTTGTGCACCAAAACTGAATGTCAGTTAAACTGTCTACTTAAATGCACTAAGAGAGAATAAATATTCTAGAAAAGTTGAAACACCTGAAAGACAGTCAAATCCCGACTACCACCTAAAATTGGCATAAAACATTGATATTTGGCTATAGAACTTTGGAGGGAAGGGGTGCGCGATAGACTTACCTTCAATAAGATTACAGCAAAGAGGGTTCAAAAGTTGTTATGATACATAAGGGGTAAAGATGGAGGAGTATAATTCAGGTTTAAATTAATTGCACTAGATTCCTAAGAAAGTGCTAAGCATATTAAGTGGAGATGTGGAGAGAGTGAAGAATTTGGTATTAGGACTCCTGGACTTCTTCTGAATGACAGGATTTTGTTCGCATTTAGTTTAATAGGCGTTGATGTGTATCACATCTAATACCGTAGGCTATGCAGACCTGTTTTCGCTCATCATGGCGGCTAATATCATCACATATTTGGTTCAGTTTCCTATGTGCATGTAATCGGCAATCGTGCATATTCAAAGAGTTAGAATAATTCTACTATCAAGAATTCATTTTATAAACTCAAAATTAAATTTTATGCAAGAATGCTAAGACTATATTCTGTGAACCTTATTTATTAAAAGCAGGTGCTAATATCGATGTTTTTGTCTAATGCTCAATAACATTCTAGCCAAGAAAATAGTGTAAAGAACGTGAAAATGAGCTTTCTAGATCACGTCATCCTTCCTTAGATGAACATAATTTAAGGAATGAGAGTAGAGCTCTGTCGTTTCCAATAGCCGGAGAATCGACATTCATAAAATGGATGATCATCAAGAACTTGCTGTAATGCTGAAAGAATCAGCATAAATATAATAAGGATTGAAAATTCTGTGTTAAGCGAAAATTGAAAATTTAAATTTAATTAAATTAAATTATACCTTTATCCAAGTTATTCAAGACTTTATTTTGGCAATGATATTCGTGATGCAATAATTTCACATGTTTCGTATTTATCTGACGAGCTCTGCAGTGCAAGGCGGTAAAGTTTTCATGGAATTTTCCTCCACCTCCAGTGCTTCCTTCAATTGTTGTCCAAACAACGCTTCATTTCTTCGATTTATCTTTTACATGTCTACCAACATCTGAGTTGCAACAAAGGCACTTTTGGCGCAGGAGTGAAATAATGTGGAACACCTTTTTGTAAGGATGTGTGAGGTAATGTTCAATCAGGGTTAAAGCAATTTTCATAAGCCGATATAAAAGCAAGTATTGAAAATAGCGATTTTGATAATCCAGCTAATTGTAACTCAGACGATGCCAACGAGATGAATCATTTGTGCAACAATTATTAGCAATAAACTTGCTAATAAAACCCACAACAATCAAGACGGGGTACTGGCACTTCGAACGACAGTGTTTTGTTTAACTACTACAAAAAGTACTAGAAAGTTCCTCATGTTGCACATTCATGTTAAAGCATAAAGCAAAGATAGGCCGACATGAAGTCAATATAAATAAGTGAACCATCGGAATGCAGCGTTTCAAATGGCAGAATTACTAAGATTCAGACAAACGTTCTTATACCAGGAAAGTAATAAGCTGAAATGATATTGTAGCTAAATTTGGCCAATTCTTGTAAAACATCTATCTGATATATTGACGGGGCTGCTTATCACTTTCATAATGATACAATATTTGCTCAATGTGTTAGAGTAGTCGTTTTGCCCAATAAAGGCCTTGTTTGGCATAATTAATAGAGAGTGGCGAATGAGAGAAAAACTGAACATGAAACCGATTCATTAACTAACAATTATTATCATCATTGTTATGGATCTTCTGGAAGAGATGAAGGTAGCTTGTGATCGAGAATCGTAAGTAATTGAGAGTCACTTTTGGCAGCAGATTGGTTATCACTAAGTTGAATAATAACGAATTGTGGACTTTCACTATTCATGCACAAAACGGAAGTTTTAAAATAATGAGAGTGTGAAGGGAAGCAATTATTCACAAGAAACGTATGATATTGTGGTGAATGAAACCATTTCACTTGATAAATGTCAAGCAATGAAGATTCGGTCAACATTTCCTAAATTAATATACTTTTCTCCGGGCATTTAAAGAATTCAAACTTGTAGTTGAGATAGCTGTAACATACATCATAAGCGTCACTTTATGATATTCATCATCTCATTTTTTGAGTGGGTTCTCTCACCTGACATTCATTCTCATCAAGCCATTCGCCTTTTACCATATGATGAAAATCAGAATACACTTGAAGCAATGAATGCAGGCAGACAGGCAGATAGGCATATTGAATGGCAATAGTAGTAAATACTTCTCGGTGAATGTTGATTTGCATTTAAGTTATTCTTCCACTTCTCAAAAGCAATGATGATATTTCCAGCAAAATTGTTTATTCATGAATAAGTATACGAAGACTCAAGGAGGAAAAAATTAAAAAATAATTAGGGTTAATTTGTCAATCATCCTTTAATAACACAAATCTGTTTTATTTTATTTGCAATTTATCATACTTTTTAATACTTCCTTCAATCTGTTTGGTTACAGCAAATTTATACTCATCGTAAATTAGTTTTGTTTTGTTAACTTGTAGTATATACATACTTTATATATTTGTAATAAATTGCAAAACCATTATGCATTGAAGAATGATAAAATTGAGTTAAAATGTGCATGAATATGCTAATTTAATCGAGATTTCAAATTTGTATTTTGAGTGCCTAATTAGTGGGCTTCGAATATTTAGCGAATTGCTTATTAATATAAATGTGCTTTAAATCGGCAATGACGCAATGATTTTGAATCTGTTATGAATTCAGTAATTAATTTTCACAGAGTACAAACCGTTATTAATTTATTTATTCAAAAATTGTCTTCTTAAATTTTGTCTGTTTAAATTGAAATGTTTCATTCATTTTCAGCTTTGATATATTATTATCATCATTATTATTATTAATATTATATTTCAACCAAAAGGTTTTATAATATTTTCCATTAGCCCTTAAGTTGACTTCGGATTTCACAAGCAGGAAGGAACATATATTTAGGCTTTAGGACGGTTAACAGTAGGTCTTTATTTAATTTCTAGCTTCCTAGTGTTTCTGGGTTTCCGTCATTGCTTTAGGTCTGGAAACCGAATCAGGTGGGTCTTCTCCATTTCCTGCTGCAGGTTACATAGAATGTATGCAGGGTCTTTTCAAAGGGGGATTATAGTCCACCTATAACTTGAAGGGGTTTTTTTGTAAATTTGTAAATATTTAATCTAATTATTTTCCTCATATTAGAAATAAGATCGTTATGTAATGTGAGGGCTTCTTTTGCCCCAGTCAAAATTTCACTTGAAACCTGCCGGTCTATAGCAGGAGATGTATGGTGTAAACTAGGTATTGGTGGTATTTGAGTTTGACAACGGTAAGGTTGGCTCCCATGATTGTGAATGTGTCTATATCTTAGGTATACAGAATTTTCTGGATTTTGATCTTCTTGTCTTGTGACATCCCCCCAGCATTCCACTGAAGGATCTGCAGAAGTTGTGAATCCTCTTATAGTTTCGTTTCAGGTTGGACATGATAATTTGAAGTCAACTGCCGAATTTTAAACTTTTTGAAGCATGAGTATACGCTGGCCAACAGTAACTAATTGAAGTTAAATCAATCTTCTGTGAATCGGTAAACACTTACATATAGAACTGAAAATATAATAGTCGTTTGTGAATATACATATGCAATGGTTCACTTTTTGTTTACTCAAAAAAAGATGGAATGTAGCATTGCATCAAATGTCACATTTATGTGTTGAATCTTACAAAATTGGTGCCTATGAAACTTAAAAAAACGCTCAACAAATAATCTTGCATCATTCTGTTGGTCAAATTTGAAGATGTTTCTTGCAATATTTTCCCAGCAATATTGCGCCAATAATAATCTTATGTTGGGTAATATAATTGCTTACACTTTAACAAAGTGCACAAGTACAAATTAAATGGTTAATTTTATATATAAACTGCGATAATTGTTGAATAGCAGAAAGAACTCAATGATTGCCATTCTATTTGCATTTATCTTGTTGCAGTCAACTGTCATTCCTGGTGGATAGGGCTTAGTTGCGCCTCATTCAAATTGTTCGAGAATAGTGTCGACACCATTTTTTATTTAGCAAAAGATGGAAGGTAACATTGCATCAAAGGCCTTCAGTCATATTAAACATAAGTTGCCGGAATTCGGTATTTTAAATTTATCATGGTGAATTGTAGTAGAAATTCATTTAAAAGACTTCGAAGTAGCTGATTAAGGCAAAATATATCATTCGTCAAAAATATAGTTAGCAAATTGATCAGTGGCTATAAAGGAGCTGAAATCTATCCTTTCATCCACAACATCATTTTATTGAATTCAAATTACCTAAATGTCCTGCAAAATGCATGACATTTATCCATTACATATCGAATTCACCATGGCTTGTTGCAGCTACTTGTTTGCATTCTACATAGATTGGTTATTTTCAAAAAAATACCTGCTGTGTTTAGGTGTGTCACCAGATAAAGTGAAAGGCGCCAGTTTGTTCTCTTTTGCTTCGTGCAATATTACTGTCATTAAAATTACAAAAAATGTCATTTAAAATCTACATAAGTTTATATGTGGTAGGTTTCATGAAAAAAGATATTAGCTGAAAATTGTTTTCTTTAACCAATGTCGTTTTTCAAGGGCTAAATTTAACAAAATGAAAATTTTGTTGTTGGATTTAGGCGTACTTTTTTTGAAATTTGTTAAGAATTAATTTTTTGATTTAATCTGAAATTTACAAATGTTAATTTTATTGTAATAAGTGAATTCTCTGATATCATTTAGTATTTTTAAAATGACCCAAGAAAATCAAAAGCATATGCGAGCATAAAAGAGGCATTTCATAGTCAAAATTCGCAACTTTTCAGAATAGAAACAAGTAACCACATCAAGCCAGGTGAGTCAACTTGAAAAAGAATACACATGATCGTCGAACAATTAATAAATTCTATATAGTCAATTTAATATTTACTGAAGTGAACATATATATATATATATATATATATATGTACATATATATATATATATATATATATATAATTTTTATGTGACTTTATATATTGAATGCATTATCGAAGGCGTCAAATCGCACGAGAATATTGAACTAACTAGACTATATTTTATTTAACAAATATGTATAGAGCTTAACGCTTAACTGATTTTTTAATTTTTAGGCGTAAATATGTGGTAGCCAAATATTTCCGATCATACGGAAGAATAGTGCAATATATCTAAAACATTGCATTCTTCTAGGTAGCGAAGAAGGGTTAATAATAGCATGCAAGGGTAAGTCTTAACATGAAGCAAGAGTTATCAGTTTCGCTTAAGCCACTGATTAATTCGCCGATTAACTTTAATGCCTTAAGGTATATTTAAAGTTTATTGAATGCTAAGTTGACTTTTAAATGATCAATTCCATGTATTTAATTTCAGTAACTGAAAACATTTATTCCAATGTGACCTTTTATATTTTCTTCTAACGGAATAATAGATTGCACAATTGCTTATTTATTATCAAGCAAGTTATTATGTTTACAGTTCTATGGGAAACTACTGCAAATTCCCATGGATAAGTACTTCAGCACCTATGAGAATAGACCAAGACATCTGAAAACGCAATCTGGTCTAATACAGAAAGCCATAGAACTGAAGAAAGCATTACAAATCAATGACAAACCAAAAAGCCTTTCTCTCCCCATGAACCCATTAGCAGACATTGATGTAGTGTGTTGTACCAAACTGCTTGACTTCTTCAAGAAATCAAACACTCATCCAGAGCAAATCCACTCACTGACCCTTGAGACAATCAATGTCAACTATCCTGGAGATCAATGGCTCCAAGTCTTCACTGATGGGTCATACATAGAAAGCCAAGCAAACATCGGTGCAGGTGACTTTTCTGCACTCTCCTCTTTCTACGCAGCAGCGGGACACAATAGATCCGCTATTGAAGGAGAAATAGAGGCCATTAGGATAGCGCTATGCCAATTATGTTGCCTGGATACGAAATTCACATAAGCGGTGATACTTTCGGTCTTACAGTCAGCAATAATATAAATGGAAGCAATGAGCCACCCAAAATAGCTGAGATATATGAATGTAAAATCCATATCAGTAGCTGAGTGTAAAACACAAAACAGTTGAGGTGGAATGGATACCTGATTACTGTGGTATTAAAGGCAATGAGCTTGCTGACACACTTGCTAAGAAGAGTACAACAATTTTGCAATGCATGGCCAATGTGGCCAATGTCGTTCCACGCTATGAAGGCCTTAATCAGAAGAGAATTCAAGACCTCAACTTGCAACGAACTTGAAGCTCGAACAAAGGAGAAACAGTGGACAGTGGCACTCTCCCGACATACAGGAGAAATAGTGGACAGTGGCACTCTCCGACATACCCGGCTGGCCAAGAATCGAAGCCGTTGCTGAGTTCACGTACCGGACACGATTGCTTGGCAAAACACCTTCACAGAGGGGAGTATACACTCAACCCACATGCCCTCTATGTAACCTAAGAGTATACACTCAACCCACATCCCCTCTATGTAACCTACAGGAGGAAATGGTTATACACTCAACCCACATACCCTCTATGTAACCTACAGGAGCCATGCCCCCTATGTAACCTACAGGAGGATATGGAGAAGACCCACCTGATTCGATGTCCAGCCCTAAAGACAACGACGGAAAGAGAGAGGTACTGGAAAGCAAGAAGACGGCTAATGAAATGCTATTGATTGTTATAAATGTACCCCCCTACCCTTGGGGGAAGCTGTAGTCAGAGTTTAAGGGCTAATGATAAATATCATAAAGCCTGCCATTTGAAATATTAATAATGCTTACAGTTCCATATGTAATTGTTCGGGTCTCCCACTTTCAACAATTCACTTTAGATTGATTGCGCTTCATTTAATTGCCTTTTTGGTAATCTTGGAGTGGATTTGTCAATAAATTCTGAAAGGCTGAAAATTAATTAAAAATTTTTTATATGGTAACATATTAGAAAGACTATTTTTAATAAATCTTAATGATAATAAATCGCATTTTTTAAATCATTGAACAAATTCATATCAAATTTGAAATCGTTGTGACTTTCACAATTTCAATTCATCATACCTATTGATCATATGCCGATATCGCTTTTGCAAAATGCCAAAAGATTTCTAGTGAAAGTTTAGATTTTAACATCGATTGTTGGAATATATTTTAATTACTCATTGGAAAAGATTTTTGAAAGGGTCTTATTTATCTTACAATTGAAATAGTATGTAATTTATTAAGTTATTGAAGAACTTTTGTAATGCACTCAAACGCTAATTAGAAGCTAAATAAATTGATCCAATGCCCAGACATTATAACTCGATTAGATCATGTTTCAGTGAGAAAAGGTTTTGTAATTAATTAACAACACATATAATGTGTATTTAATCCCAGCCAACAAAACAAAGCGATTTCCGATGAGTATACACTTACTTTAACCAAACAGATTAAAAGATATATTAAAAGTATTATAAATTGCCAATAAAATAAATACTGATTTGTGTTATTAATGGATGATTGACAATGTATAACTAATTCTTTTAAATTTTCTCTCATCAAGACTTCGTATTTTTGTTCATGAATAAAAAATTTGAGGCAATAATCATTATTACTTATGCGAAGTGGAAGAATATCTCTAATTCAAATCAACATTCACCGAGAAGTATTTACTACTATTGCCATTCAATATGCCTATCTGCCTGTCTGCCTGCATTCATTGCTTCAAGTGTATTCTGATTTTCATCATATGGTAAAAGGCGAATGGCTTGATGAGAATGAATGTCAGGTGAGAGAACCCACTCAAAAAATGAGATGATGAATATCATAAAGTGACGCTTATGATGTATGTTACAGCTATCTCAAATACAAATTTGATTTCATTAAATGCCCGGAGAAAAGTATATTAATTTATGAAACGTTGACCGAATCTTCATTGCTTGACATTTATCAAGTGAAATGGTTTCATTCACCACAATATCATACGTTTCTTGTTAATAATTAATTTCCTTCGCACTCTCATTATTTTAAAACTTCCGTTTGGTGCACGAATAGTGAAAGTCCACAATTCGTTATTATTCAACTTAGTGATAACCAATCTGCTGCCAAAAGTGACTCTCAATTACTTACGATTCTCGATCACAAGCTACCTTCATCTCTTCCAGAAGATCCATAACAATGATGATAATAATTGTTAGTTAATGAATCGGTTTCATGTTCAGTTTTTCTCTCATTCGCCACTCTCTATTAATTATGCCAAACAAGGCCTTTATTGGGCAAAACGACTACTCTAACACATTGAGCAAATATTGTATCATTATGAAAGTGGTAAGCAGCCCCGTCAATATATCAGATAGATGTTTTACAAGAATTGGCCAAATTTAGCTACAATATTATTTCAGCTTATTACTTTCCTGGTATAAGAAAGTTTGTCTAAATCTTAGTAATTCTGCCATTTGAAACGCTGCATTCCGATATTTCACTTATTTAAATCTTCAAATTGACTTCATGTCGGCCCATCTTTGCTCATGCTTTAACATGAATGCACAACATGAGGAACTTTCTATTAATTTTTTTAGTAGTAAAACAAAACACTGTCGTTCGAAGTGCCAGTACCCCGTCTTGATTGTTGTGGGTTTTATTAGCAAGTTTATTGCTAATAATTGTTGCACAAATGATTCATCTCGTTGGCATCGTCTGAGTTACAATTAGCTGGATTATCAAAATCGCTATTTTCAATACTTGCTTTTATATCGGCTTATGAAAATTGCTTTAACCCTGATTGAACATTACCTCACACATCCTTACAAAAAGGTGTTCCACATTATTTCACTCCTGCGCCAAAAGTGCCTTTGTTGCAACTCAGATGTTGGTAGACATGTAAAAGATAAATCGAAGAAATGAAGCGTTGTTTGGACAACAATTGAAGGAAGCACTGGAGGTGGAGGAAAATTCCATGAAAACTTTACCGCCTTGCACTGCAGAGCTCGTCAGATAAATACGAAACATGTGAAATTATTGCATCACGAATATCATTGCCAAAATAAAGTCTTGAATAACTTGGATAAAGGTATAATTTAATTTAATTAAATTTAAATTTTCAATTTTCGCTTAACACAGAATTTTCAATCCTTATTATATTTATGCTGATTCTTTCAGCATTACAGCAAGTTCTTGATGATCATCCATTTTATGAATGTCGATTCTC